TTAGGGGGCAAAAAAAAAATTGGATAAAGAAGCATATTGGCCAAAATGCTCACCTGAGCGTATTGGGAATAAACTGATGATATATTGATCTCATAACATTATACAATTATAGCTATATTTTTAGGTAAATGCAATGATTCGGAATCTAGAGGAGTAAAAGATTTATCAAAGCTTAAGGGTTAACGTTAGGTAAACATTGTTTTTTGATGGTGGAAATCATCGAACTGACAGAAAAAATCAGCAGTATTATATATTATTATATCCTCCGCTTGAAAAGCGGGAGGATATATAGTGATTGGGATGTCCTTCCGTCCGTCTGTTACGCTTTGAGGTATCAATCTCTTATCCGCAAATCCTCATATATAAAAAGATGTGTTTGTGAAACAGCTATGCCCCTGTATGGCAACATAGCAAAGATTAAACTTTTCTTAAATGCAATTTAAATATATTGTTACCCAAAGTAGGGTCTTCTCACAAGAAATACAACTGCAAAATAGGAAAGCCCTAGCACCACTTGTTCAAAAGTAATGGCTAAGGATAAGTTTTTGAAAGGTAGGTCAAACTCAAAGGTCAAAGTTGATGATTTCTTAAGAAAATGTTTAATGTAACAAGGATTACATATGTAAAGTATGAATACCCTAGCCCTTACCGTTCAAAAGTTATGGTCAAGGTAAAAAAAATCATAAGTACGGAAAACTCCAAGGTCAAGGTCAAAAGGTCAAGGTTTTTAGTATCCAATGAAAGGTAATGCCAAAAAACTACATATTTGAAGTATGAGAGTACTAGTATCTACCGTTTAAAAGATGGCCAAAGTAAAAATTTGGCATTTTTGTGTAAAATGGGACAAACTCTAAGGTCAAAAGGTCAAATTTGGTGGTACCCAAAGTAAGGTCTTGTCACAAGGAATATACATATTAAATATGAAAGTCATAGCTCCAATAAATGAAAAGTTATGGTAAAGGTTAAGGTTTTTGCGGACAAACAAACCACCAGATATACAGACGGACATACAGATGAACACGATAAAACTATATACCCCCTTATCCTCGAATACGGGGACATAAAAATATATGATCTACAATTAACTTTTCATATTAATATACATTATAAAGAAGACGTTACAACAATGAAAATGTTTGTTCTGATTTTCATATTAAATTCTCTGAAAAATATACTCAGAAATGAGTAAAAGGGTGGAGTAAAACAAGAATTAACGTAGAACCTATGTCGGAAAAGTCTTTGTCACAAGATTTTCAAACTTTTCAAAATGATAAATTAGTACTTGCTTATCAATCAGTTAAGATATCATGATATGTTTCCTTGTTTTTTAATCTAGAACAGGCTGTGAAACTTGGTATGGTATTTACATACTGCGACTTCACATTTTCAAATATTTTTAGGGGTACTTGTCATAAAGGGAATATGAAAAATCACAAAAATACTTCTTCAAACATCGTCGTTTATAAACTTTTTTAACTGAATAATATTAAACAATATTTTATCAAGAATAATTTCTTTTTTATTCAATTAACATAAAAGATACGTCCACCATTAAAACAAGAGGCCCAGGGGCCACATCGCTCACCTGAGCCATTGGCTAGGAAAAAGCACATATCAGATCAGAACTGAAAGTTAACTGGGGGAGGGGGGGAAGGGATGAGGGGGCTTGAATTTTAACCTCTCAGGGGGTCATGATTTGAACAAACTAGAATCAACACTACCGGAGGATGATTCCCTATAAATACATGTATCACTAAGCATAGCTTTGAAGTACTTGAAAAGAAGATTTTCAAAGGTTTACCAATATATTCCTATGTAAAACTTTTATCGGTCATCTGGCCCCACCCTAGCCCCGAGGGTCATGATTTGTTCAAATTTGAATCTACACTACCTGAGGATGATTCCACATGAGTGTCATCTTTCCTGGCCCAGTGGTTCTTGATTCTTGAGAAGAAGATTTTTAAAGAGTTGTCCTATATATTCCTATGTAAATATTTGATCGGCCATCTTGGCCCCATCCTACCCCCAGGGGTCATGATTTAAACAAATTTGAATCTACATTACCTGGAGATGATTCCACATGAGTTTCATCTTTCCTGGCCTAGTAGTTCTTGAGAAGAAGATTTTTAAAGACTTTTCCTATATATTCCTATGTAAAAATTTGATCGGCCATTTTGGCCCCACCCTACCCCCGGGAGTCATAATTTGAACAAACTTGAATCTATACTACCTGAGGATGATTCCACATGAGTTTCATCTTTCCTGGCCCAGTGGTTCTTGAGAAGATTTTTAAAGATTTTTCCTGTATAATCCTATGTAAAATTTTGATCGGCCATTTTGGCCCCTTCTTACCCTCGGGGTCATGATTTGTACAAACTTGAATCTACACTACCTGAGGATGATTCCACATGAGTTTCATCTTTCCTGGCCCAGTGGTTCTTGAGAAGAAGATTTTTTAAAATTGCCATTATTTTTTCTCTAATTCATGATTATCTCCCCTTGGAAAAGGGCGTGGCCCATCATTTGAACAAACTTGAATCCCCTTTACCCCAGGATACTTTGTAGCAAGTTTGGTTGAAATTGGCCCAGTGGTTTTTGAGAAGAAGATGAAAATATGAAAAGGTAACGACAACAACGACGACGACAACGACAACAACAACGACAGACGACGGACAAATTTAGATCAGAAAAGCTCACTTGAGCCTTCGGCTCAGGTGAGCTAAAAAATAGTCAAATGAACTCTACTATTTTTAGTCAATTATTCACCCTATATATTTGTAAATATTTTTTAGACGTCTTTGTAGCAATGTTTTCAATCTTCAATAAATGATTACAAAAAATGATTAAAATATATACCTTTCCCCTCTAACTAATGAAAGATAGGCTATTTACCGATACTCATATTCTTGACCTTTTTTCACTTACACGGGATTTAATAATTAAATGACTGTTTGGGGTTACTTTCAGATTAAATATTTATCAGAAATTGTACTTTTTCTTTTAAAAGATCATATTTGATAGAAAAATTGTAATCAAACACCAAGAATATGAATAGGTAACAAATAATTGTTAAAAGGAATGCACATCATTTCATTATAGATATCACAAAAATGTACACACGATCAAACGATCTACAACACGTACATCTTTGACTTAGACACATTTCATCAAGACATTACACTATATAGCTGGCAACTAAAGATTTCTTACGATTTATGCATTCCTTCAAAATGGTTACATACCATTCAAATTATTACGAAAGTTGTATGTACATTGTAATTTCATTACACTAGATAGTCTTGGGTTTGTCAACTTCAGGTCTAGATCTAGTAAATAAAAGGTGCCTACATATTTTCTCTTATTCCAGAAATATATTGCCATTAAGCATTATAAACCAAAAAATATATGAATTGAATCAAGATTATGTTGGCATGATTGAATTCTGTGAATTTCAAAATGCAGTATTTTCTACCATTTTTATTGAAGCTCTCAAGTACGGGAAAAAGTGGCATTGAATTAATTATGACGTCTTAATGGGTTAGCACAGGTTTAACACATTTACAAGTTGTGATGTCATACGAAGTAGGTTCTACGTTAAAAGAAATGTAATGAATACTGTGTGCTAAATCAAAAGTTTATGTCTACATGAATAGTTTTTGCATTAGAATGATTGTGTATTTTACACTAGCCCATAGTTAACTGTGCATATTTTTAGGTCTTATACTTACCCCTACCCCTTTCTTATTTAGGAGGAAGTCGATATTGAACAAAAGCAAAAAAAAACCACCCTACCTTTATTTTTCTATAAGAAGGAATTATAAATAAGCTAAAAATAATCTACTATTCTACTAATTTTTAACTGTTACTTTACCACAATACTTTCAAGTATACCTCCACCAACATTTAAAGTATGCTTTAATCATAGCAAAGTAAATTATGATATGGTAGTACTTGTGTGAAGGCTTAACTTCATTTCAATATTTCATCTAGAGCCTCTTTCAGAATTATTGAAAGGTATAGAGTTTTATTTATATTTTTGCTTTTCATTTATTATTATTTTTTTTTGTTTTGATTTAACGTAATGTTCTTTTTTTGGGGGGGGGGGGGTAAAAATTTCTTCCTCTTTCATTGTCAAATAGGATTTGCCAAACTTAAACAAACTAAAAGTTGAAATGACGGAAAATGTGATTTTTCCTATTAAAGAGTATTTAAACCTTATTTTTGCATGGTTTGATTTCAAAAAAACAAATGGAATATCATTCTCTAAGCAAATATTAGATGGAGGAATACTAAAAAGAAATTTTATTTACTTGACAATTAAAGAATCTTTTCTCAAACACAATTTTAGTATTGAAAGACTATGTGAATCTCTTAATTATTTCAAACGACTTTTTGTATTTTTCTTGTTACAGAAAATGTAAAAATTAGTTTCGCTGTAAAAAAAGATATCAAAGAGTGTAATATTTTGTATCACTTTAAAGGGGGTCATTTTTCAATGGGGGTCATTATTTTATAGGACTAACATATAAGATAATGACCCCCTAGGACCCTTTTTCTACAAAAAATGATTTTTTTCTACGGGTGGGGGTCATTTTTTGTCGTTGAAAAATGACCTACCGGTCATTATTCGATGGGGGTCATTATTCGTCTTTACACCGGCGTATATAGTCAGCTTGTGAAAATGGTGAGAAGCATGCAGCTCAAATTTGCATATAACACATATAACCTAGCATTGTTTTTAGTAACTTGTATATTTTAGCATAAGACTATAAAAAATATTGCAACAACTTGAACTACTATTTACCAAGTAAAAAAAAAAAGGTTTATATTCTTAATTTCCTTATCCTAAAAATACAATAGCAATGGATTCTGATAGGTAATCTAAACATACTATAAATTGCACAGAGCTATGCATAATTATTTTACATTAAATACTTCAGCATAAATTATTAAAAATAGCTATCATATTCTATGATGCACAATTACATGCATTATTTACAGGAATCCGAATACTCACAAGAAGGACAAAACCAGTATGAAAATTAACACAAAGGTAAGATTTCTTAAATTTTCTGATAAGATCAATAAAATCACATGAATCGAATTGTTTTTTTAGCTCACCTGAGCTATTTTAAGACCCAAGCGAGTTTTCTGATCAGTGTCTGGTATTCGTCTGTCATCTGTAAATTTTTCAAATTTTTACATTCATCAGAATTAATCCTAATTTGAAAAAAAAAACCTTCAAGATACAACTTTTCTTTCAGAAATTGTGCAAGAAAAGTTTGAAGTATCTATGGGAATGATCTGACAACAACGAACTTGTTGATCCTTCCTTCTTAAAGTGACATGACCAGATATTTGGCTACCCAGTTTGAGGTACGAACTAATCATTTGTTGTACAACTTATTGTGTATGAGATTGCCACCATTTACTAGAACTTTGAATTTGCTGTTCACTTTAAACCCCTGCTATCTACAATATAAGTTGTTAATATATTTTATTTTATGTTAAATCACTTGCTCATTATCCCAATAACTTGCTTGTCAAATGCTGTAGATGCTAACCTTTGCATTTTCATAAACTCTTAAATTCTATGTGTTCCAAGTATGGTTCGCCATTATGTACATCCGTTTCATATCATGTTTTTTCGTCTCGAAATTTGATCTTATACATATTATAATATGTTTATGAAATAATTCGCTGAACTAGATCACAAAAGTTTAAGGATTTTATTATTGTATTAATGTTATCTACCTGCTCTAATCATAAATACATCTGTTTGTATATTTTTTCTATGAAATGCCATACCTGTTATTAATTTTTCATATTTTTTTATCCATAGTATCTTTCTGCTAAATGAAATAAAATATTTTGGAGGAACACGGAGAAAAGGGCACTTCAACAAGTTCAAGGTCAAGCAGGTAAACACAGTGGTAAAATGCTCAAAAAAAAAAGATGGCAAAAAGTTACTAGTCCCCAATTTACATGTACATCCACAAAATCTGTAGCTTGCTGGTCTGAAACTATAGATACGCCTGTTTTAATATGTTAAATGCTGTAAATGCTATTATTTGCATATTCGTAAATTTTGTAAATCTTCAAATTCCATGTGCTCGGAGTACTGTACCATTATGTATGTTTCGTATCATAATTTGTCGTCTATAAATTTGATCTATTCATTTAATTATATGTGTTTCTATGTAATTCTCTTAACTAGATGGCACAGAGAATTTTATCATTGTGTAAAATGTTATCTACTTGCTTTAGTCATAAGTACACCCTGTTTGTATATCTTTTCTCCTTTTTTTATATTCTTTCTATGGAGAGCCATACCTGTTATTAATTCTTCATATTTTGTTTCTTACAGCTTTTTACCATATCCATAGTATCTTGCTGCTAAATGAAAGAATTATTGTGGAGGAACAGAGAAAAGGGCACCTCAACATGTTCAAGGTCAAGCAGGTAAACATAATGGTAAAATGCTCCAAAAAAGATGGGGGAAAAGTCATTAGTCCCCAGTTTACATGTACATCAACACTAGCTTCAAAATTTGTAGCTCGCTGGTCTGAAATTATATATAAATATTTTATTACCCAGACTTGAAAAAATGGCATATCTTTTATGGTCTTCTGTAAATGTCAAAGTTCTGATGTTAAGAGAACCACCTAGACTAAAGATACATTATATGGAACAAAACTCACAAACCCCTTTCTGTGTCGTACAATTGTTCCTTTTCAGAACTACATTGCAATCAATGTAATCACACACAAATGTAAACACATCACCCCATACATGTAATATTAAATAGACCGCCATATACACTTTCTTTTAAAATCTAGATTGGTTCAAAAATATTTCAGTTGTCAATAATTAATCAAAATTGAGCTGTGTTTCCTCTAGGTCTATTGATAAGTTTACAATCAACCTAGATTTTGCGTACTAGTTAATATATGCATAAATCCGGAAGCACACATATGATATGTATATATAGGCAAATGGGTATTTATTTGTACGTTTGTTGTAGAAATTAGAAGCTACATGTGCTTCTCCAGAGCTGAAAATTTCTTGGGATGAAGAGAAGAAAAAGCAAGAAGGAGCAGTTTTAAATATTGATTACGTCTTCACAGTACAAAAAATGATTCGAAAGATGATACTATCTATGAAATTAGAAAACTGAAGTGGTGTTCTGATGAATGTGAAAAAGTCCTTAAAGAACAGGACACCAAAAGTGCCACTCTCAAATCAAAACACTCTAAAAGGCAGAGCATAACAAGAACTAAGACAAATAAAGAATCTAAAAGAGTCAAACCTAATGATGAAGCGACTGAACAGAAATTGGCTATTAGAAATCAAATATCTAAGTTATTACTGTTTTGCACAAATGTGATGTTTTTTTTACTTAACTTTAATTGACAAATTCAATGTTAGATAAGAAAAATATACCTATTGTTGTATTTTTGACAGTTAAAGTTTTTTCTGATACTTCATTACAGATTAAAACTGTTATATTTTTTATTGTTTAAACATTAATTGGTTTATCGTGTAGTATGCAATCACATACATTTTAATCTTGATTTATAAAATACATATATGTACGAGTTTTACATAAATAATAAGTGCATGGACATTTATTGTGGAAAAAAATAAGACAATCAAGGGTAGTCTGAAAGAGCTTTGCTGGCAGTAAGTGGCAGATCTTGATACCCAAGTAAGAGAAAGATGGTGTCTCTGACCGATCCTTTTGCTCTTGCTTATGGGCGAGTGAGGCTTCTCTGTCAGTGGCTTAGTGTGTCATAGATGTAAAAAGTAGACTAAGCAGATGAGGTAGAGACATTTCTGAGTAAAAAAAGGGTGAATTGTGATTTTAATTTATAGATATTATATTGCAAGAGTGATGAGAATTGAAAGAGTAAAATATTAATTTGTTTCCTTCCATATGAAGTAAAAGAGTTTATGACATGAATTTTTTGCATTAAGATTAAATTGTAATTAAGGCTAAAAAAATTGTTAAATATTCTTGTACATATGTTTATACAGGACATTTTATATGTACATGTTTCCAAGCTCATTCTTGAAATTTTGAGGCAAAGTGTAGAAGATTAATGACTGAAAAAAATATCACAATGCCTTGCATTCCAATGTAAAATGAGGATATGTTAAAGTTATAATCATCAAGCAATAAACCTAGCAGTTGGAACAAATATTGGGTATTAGAGACAAATTATCTGCTGTTACTATTTTGTGTAATTGCGATGCTGTTTCTTTAATTTGAATTGACATAACCAAATGATATAAAAGATTTTTTTTTTGGTGTTGTATTTTACACAGTAAACATTAAGTATTTACTGTACTCGGTTAAAGATTTAAAAGCTGTCATATTTTTTATTGATACCAGATCGACTGGCTTATTGTGTCACACACATGTACATACACTGTTAATCTCTGATTTATTGCCATGTTTTTACAAGTTGATAATTAGTGCATTGACATCTATTGTGGAAATACTTGGGAAACAATATAGGGGTAGTCTGAAAGAGCTTTGCTGGCAGTAAGTGGCAGATCTTGATATCTAAGTAAGAGAAAGGTGGTGTCTCTGACCGATCCTTTTGCTCTTGCTTGTGGGTGAGTGAGGCTTCTCTGTCAGTGGCTTAGTGGGTCTTAATAGATGTACATGTAAAAAGAATGGGCATTTTTTATTGCCAACTTTTATTCTTCTGTGCAAAGTATGATATGATTTTTGTGGGAAATTGAAAAACCATTTACAACCCATGCAGCAGTTTCAATACTTTATAGGGGCAGTCACAGGTTTTGCAGTCTTTTGGAGTCAAAAATGACTGCATTTTTTTACCTGTTGTGTTCTGATTTATTGCAGATTTAAATTTTACATACAGTTCTATTTTCATAATTATTTTGTTATTGATTTGTTTGGACATGATGACCCATTGTTGTCAGGGTATCTTAAATTAATAAAGTTTTAATTCCACAATAAGTGTTTTGTAAAATACAAAATTATTTCACTTACTTAAGTATTATTTAGTACCTACTACTATTATGCAAAAATTTACTCCATTATAATTGAGCTACATTCATGATTGTAAATTTTTAAATTCTGACATTTAGGCATTAATTTTGAAATATCTTATACTTTGTTAGAACTCATTGTTTGTACACAAATAACATAAAATAAAATTGAACGAGAAGTGGATTTGTGTATTGTAAAATACTTGCGAAAAACACAATTATAAACCATACGAAATAATGATGGAATAAGTATTAAATAAAAAAATTAATATGTAATAATATAACTATAATAAATTTCATCTAATACAACCATAAATCTTAATGATATGGGTATAGGTTTAATCCATATATTTCATCACATATGCAAGAGATTTAATATTAGTTTATGAAAGATTAAAATTTGAACGTATTAGTAAGTTTACATTTCTCCGTATATAACTTAATTTTTGGAAGTATTATAAAGTAAAGTGTGAATTAAACAAAAAATAATGAGGTTAAGTTCTACATTAAATTTTATTAAACGATCAAATTTAATATAACCATAAAACCTTTATTTTATGGGCATGTTTAATAATAATTATACGTTTTGTATACTCGAGGTATAATATTTGTTTACGGGAGACTTAAATCCGAACGTATTAGTAAGTTTACAATTTTCCAAACTTTATTAAATTTGTTCTTTTAATTTTCCATTAAACTCGTATTAAATGCCTATTATTTTCTAGCGTTTACGATCCCACAATATGTTATACTATGCATTTAAACATTAAATAATCGCAGCATTTAAATTGCATTTAGGTAAAAGTAGACCCGACTTTTCATGCAGTGGAAAGCACAAGAAATTCACTTTTCATATGGATACCAACTTCCGCCCTAACCCGGGGTTGAACTCTCGACCTTAGGAATCTGTCTCCGAGCAGTGCAGGAACAGCTATCTAGGCAAGTCAAAAAACTTGCTTTTTGTTCATATCCAAAAAGGAACGCAGATTATTTTGTATCATCTGGTTTGGTATGGGACACACACCCTTGACGACCAGCTTCGTCATCTTATCCATGCAATCCCCTAATTCCCAGTGCTCGGAAACCATGGAAAATTCAAGATATAATGAATGTACTTCAAACAGTTACTCGATCTTATCTTATGTAAACAAACATTATGGCTGCTAGATCTAAGTATCAGTTATTACCTCCCCTCACTTCTCATTACTTCCATTACTAAGGTTGTATTATTGCGCAGTAACTTTGAACTCGTAAAAAGCAACATAATTTTATTATTTATTAATTTTATTATTAAAAAATTAAATTGTAAGGAATGACTCTAATTCTTGACCAAATTATCGAGTATAATCTGGTTTGGGTCAGTTTACGCTTTATAATCCGCGAGTTAGAGTCATTCCTTAAATAAAAGTAAAAATCAAAAAAATATCACAAAACATTTACTGGAATCGCTTTCGCCATCTTCGGCTCTTCATGCAGTTATACAAATGTCAGGAAGGTTACCTGGTAACGTCAAAAGCATAAAGTTCATTGTGACGTCATAATAAATCAAGGTAGCGTTAAGTTGGCGTTTTACATGTAGTTAGTGTACTGATCTTACACTAACTATCACACATTATACAAATAAGATTTCAAAATATAAAATATATAATATCATTTGCGATTAAGATTGGTTTTAAAGTGGTTGATAAACAGTCTTCTTTTGCCAAACGTAGAATTTCGTTTTCATTTGAAAGTTTATAAAAAGGGAAAATCTAAAATATTCCTTTGCCACATTTTGCGAAATGTTCACAATACGGTGTATTACGCACACGAGGGTCTTTAATTTGTTGTTTGTGCACACGAACTCTGGCATTTAGTTTTCCCGTTTGTCATAGATAAGTGGGTTCGGATTTCAATTCGTGATTTAAGTTTGATTTTATTCCCTTCATTTAAATATATATATATATATATATATATATATATATATATATATATATATATATATATATATATATATATATATATATATCCAATGAAAAAAAAGTCAGAAATCACAAATCTCGAAAATCATTTTTACTGTTAGCGCTTTCTGCCTAATGGCTCTTCAGACAGTTATATATATATATATATATATATATATATATATATATATATATATATATATATATATATATATACATGTATATATATAAAGGGAGTTACATATGAACTTACATAACTGAGTAATTCCGTCTTTTCAAAGCTTACACATTTAACGGATATGGTGTCAGGACGTAGCTATGCCATTCAAATAAAACTAAATATCTGTTTTCATTCCATATGTTCCTTTATAAAGATATTCGTGACATATGATACAGGGATTTATTTTGCATTTTATTATTGAATAAGGAAAATATAATGATATAGAAGGGAAGTAACAGCAGGATTTGTACTATTTCTAGCCTTGTGATGCGTTTATAATCTTCCTTAAATATACTCAGTATATGATTTACCTTAATTTTTATCGAACCATTACTTATTTGAAATTGAATAAAAAAATTATGCTAACTTCTATTTTTAATTAGTTATAACTCTATGTAAAAAAAAAAAACATTAAAAAAACAGTAAAATTGAAAAAAATACATGACTGGAATAAATTAAAATTTCATTGAACTAAGCTTAGAAATTACAAATAATCACTTCTTTGGCATATATACATATATATATATTATTTATAATTTTTCACAACGTAAGATGCATCTTTCATGATCACTTACCTTTAAACATGTTTCTAAAATTAGTATAACCTTTCATAATTCATTGTCGTACAAATAAAAGTTAAATAACTGCATATTCGAAGTACCTGTGGCGAAATTTATGGTACCGATTTGAGGCTCAAAATGGCCCAGGATTTGTAAAATTATAAGATGGAAGTTTCTTGGAAGGGGAGACATGTGGAAAAAAAACTGAAATTACCTTTTTTTGTTTTCACATACTCATATTACATGTAACCTACTAACATATGAAATGTATTACAACCTTTCTACCGGTTCCATATTTTATAATTAGGTAATGTATCTTTCTTGAAATTAATTTTTTTCTATGACTTTTGCAGATTTGGACAAATGTGATTGAATAGAACATTTAAGTTTTTTGAGTCAGAATAAACTTACATACTGATTAAAATTTGGTATAAATATGAGTTTTAATTTAATAGACAATTCAGCAAAAAGATATAATTTTTAGACATGCCCCAAGTTTTATTTAACAAACACAAAAGATCAACTCCCTC